ACCCCCTTGGCCTGAAGGCAGCGTCGCGAACAACAAAGTGGACCGACAGCCACCTGGCCAGGTCCAAGGGTATGCAATATCCCTTTGGAGGAACCAGCGTCCAAACCCCTGGGTGCCCCTCGGGCTCATAGTCGTCTCGAAGATAACATCACACAGTGTTTCGTCGAATATGTTTTTGTTTGTTTGGCGCACTCATGCATTCGGAGAACGAGGGCCCAGCCACCCAAACTAGAGATCTAACCCCCTGGCCTGAAGGCAGCATCGCGAAGAACAAAGTGGACCAACAGCCACCTGGCCAGGTCCATATCCCTCGGAAAACAACTAAAACCGGAGGCCATATTCCTCTGAAGAAGTATCCCTTTGGAGAACCACCCGGAACAAAAGCCACGTCGCGAGGTCCAAGAGAAAAAGTATCGGGGCCATAAACCACCAGGTTGTGAGTTCCGGACCCTGGGCGTTGGGGAGACACGAACCAGGGACCTGGCAGACAGGACCGGGGACCGGGCAAACATGTGAAGGGGAAAACTCTCGCTGACACAGCCCCCCAACACACGGTCAGACGCGCTGGCCCAAATTTTCCGGGAACGACGGTCAACGCATCTACTCCAAGAAAGGGATCCCGTCCGCGCAAAGGGTGCCGACCATGCCACATGGCAAGTCTGAAACGGTGCTCCTGGTGGCCCGCTTCTTCGCGCGCCATTTTGCCCACCCGGAGGGCCCGCTGCGGCTTTTCATCGTCTTGGGGGGTTTGGTTGCGTCGCCGTCCTTCTTGACAGGCACAACGTTCCCGTCCTTCTGGACAAGCGCACCGTCCCCGTCCTTCTGGACAGGCACACCGTCCCCGTCCATCTTGACAGGAACACCACTCGGCGGCCGAACCAGGCTTTTCTTTTGGCTGGACTCCTTGAGGATCGCTTGGGTCAGATTCGGTGCGAGGTTTGGCGCTGACAGCCCGGCCTTTTCGATTTCTTTGCTGAGGGCAGCTGTGATCTGCTCTGGTGAAATCCGAAAAACAGCTCCATCAGCCATGGCGTCCCGAAGGAAAGGATGTCAACAACCCTTGGTGAGAGCACTCAAAACTTGCAGACTGGCCCCCAAGAATTCTCAATGGACAGCACTTGGAATTTTGTTGGGCTCCCTGCCGCTGCAAAAATGGTGACGGTCTATGTCTGGTGGGATTTCTGGTCATTTGGGTTGTCACAGGCTTCCGGGCACCGCCCGGCAGGACAGCTCCCTCATCGGCACACTCCAGGCCGATGCAAACATGGTCGTCTTGTCGCGTGCTCACATGGGCGCTGTCCGGAAAGAACTGGAGATATAATATAAATATACGTATGGTTGGACATGCAAATAGTAATCGATACACCAATAAAATATACGGTTTTTATATATGGAACGGTGGCTCTATACACCAAAACAGCAGGAATGCAACAAGTCGCTTTCCGACAAAACTCCACGACCTGGTGTGCAGTGCCTGGATGGGGCGCGCATGGGCGCGCAGCAAAGCCAGCCTGACGAGCACACAACCGATCGCTAAGCAAACCTGATTTTGGAGGGAGGTGGAAGGGATACAAAGAATTTGCCTTTCTGGAGGGAAGTTGGATGACTGTGCAACAAATCCCTTTCCGACCAAAAACTCCAGGAGCTGCGCACCAGCTACGCCACGGGAGCGCACCCAGTGCCTGGCTGGGGCGCGCACGCGCGCACAGCCAGGCCAGCCTGACGAGCACACAAGCAATTGCTATATATTCTGGAGGGAGGTTCCAGGGATACAAAGAACTTGTCATCTGGAGGGGAAGTTGGATTGATCAAGAAGTCGCTGTCATTCCGACCAAAAACTCCAGGAGCTGGCGCGCGACTGTGCGTGCCAGCTACCCCCACCAGAGCACACGCGCGCGCCAGCTACTCCGCCGGAGCGCGCCTAGTGCCTCGATGGGGCGCGCATGGGCGCGCAGCAAAGCCAGCCTGACGAGCATACAACCAATTGCTAAGCAACCGAGATTCTGCAGGGGAGATATTGGAAGGGATACCTTTAAAAATTGTCTTTCTGGAGGGGAAATTGGATGGATGCAATTGCTAAGCAAACGAGCTTCTGAAAACTACGACGTTGGATGAAAGCAACAAATCGCTTACTGAGCAAAAACTCCAGGAGCTGGCGCCCGCCAGCTACCCCACCAGAGCGCGCTGGCGCGCGACAGGCGCGCAAAAGTGCGCGCCAGCTACCCCGCCGGAGCGCGCCCAGTGCCTGGATCTGGCGCGCATGGGCGCGCAGCAAAGCCAGCCTGACGAGCACACAACCAATTGCTAAGCAAACGAGATTCTGCAGGGGAGATATTAGCAAGGGATACCCAAAATTTCGTCTGTGTGGAGGAGAGATTGGACAGATACAACAAAAATATCCTTTTTGCAGAGGAGTTTGGAGACTTACAACAAAACATATCGTGTTTGCAGGGGTTGGAAAGAATACGATAAATCGGCGCCATAACGCGTTAGTGCCTGGATGGGGCGCGCATGGGCGCAGCAAGGCCAGCCTG